ACTGCCATAACGAACTCGACTTCAAAAGAACTCGGTGGACTTTTGCTCATTTCTTTCATTTCATTTCATTTTACTTTATTTTTCATGTTTTACCATTTGGCCAACTGCAAGCACTCATGGGCACTCCATAAATTAGCTGCCACTTTTTTTGACCAACCACGACTCACACATACGCACCGTGTACGTATGCATAAGACCATATGTATATTAGTATATTTGAACTAAGGCTTGTCCAAAGCAAATATAGAAAAGTAGTCAACGAAATAGCAGCAAAATAAATGAATACGCAAGCATGAAGCACAAACACTACAGTAATAACAAAAATATACTGAGCATATAATTTATAAAAAAGAAACTAAACAAAGCGAGTATTTAATTTGCTGATACTTACTATTCTCTGGCTACCATAGTTACACAACACAATTTACGTATACGCCATGGTGTGTCATGTACTTTATATGCGCGAATATCCATGAATGTACGGGCTCTTAAGAATTTGTGTATGTATATTTGTGTACGTTATTTTACAGTAGGTGGAAGCCACTGTCGGCGCTGTGTGCTTGCAACAACATAAATAAAATGAAAAATCTACTAGGAAAATGCACTGGTACATAAGCGACTTACTGCCAGACTGGCTGGACAGTTCGTGAGTTACACGAAGCAAAAGCAAATATCAAAGGAGCAGGAAAAAAAAGTAAAGGGAATTGCGTACAGTTCACTATATACGAACTTAGGTACATTAAAGACAGCATTTGGTGAACGTTAAATATGGAGAGAGAAAATATATGTATATGTACAGATATATATGTACATATATGTGGCGAAAAAAGTTTAGAACTGAAATTTGTGATGGTCATAACTATGCAACAAATACTTTGTAAAATTGTATCTGTGTTATTGTTACAGAGACTGTTGATATATAAGAATACCCGAAATTAGGGAGCATGCGCCACAATGAAAGTCGCTTTGTTTGTGCTAATAAGTAATTGCTGGAATTTGTTGTAAGAGAGAGAAAGCGCGTGAGCATACCAGCAGGGGAACAACACACTATATACAAAACTATGTATGTATATATGTATGTACATATATGTATATGCATGCGAGTAGTTTAAGGAAACTGTAGTGGGAAAAAGTAAAACTGGCAGCAAGTCATCTGCAGCAAGGGCGTTTTAAGAACAAGATTGCCACAGGTGAAATGCTTTCCTTTCACAAAATTTCTTTCGGTCTTTCTTATGTCGCTACAGCAACAAGAATTATTAAGATGCGCAGTCTGTGCAATGGTTATTTGAGTCTCAGCAGCAAAGTAAACTCAACTAAGCACCACCTGGACTAGCCTAAACTCGGTCGTCATGCATGCAAAGAAGAAAATTTACTCACTAAACCTAATTAAAAAGTAAACTGTGGCAGCTAACTAGGCGTTGTTGGCCGCTAGCCACTATTTGCGCTTGCTTGTAGATACACACGTGTGTGTGCCTTGTGTGTACGCTAACAAGGTGTGGCAGTTGTATCACCACTTTCTTGCACATACTACGCTACATATTTGTAAAATTACTTTGCAGCCATTTTCGTTGCTTCAGTTGTTGATTTCATTTAATTTATGCTCAAGTGTTTTCTTCAATGATCTAAATTTTTTCTTATTTTTGCTCCGCCTTGTTATTGGCATATCCCAAGCCCCAATTTACTTATTTATTTCTTTTTAATTTCTATTTTTCAATATCTGTGTTTAGTAACTTTCTGGCATTCTCTCATTCTGCTTTTCGCCTAACTTCTATTGTTTTGTGTTTGCTGTCAGCTAAGTATATAGTAAGTTGAAGTTGGTTGCATGCCTGCACAAACGTTAAAGAATTGTCGCAAGCATCGACTTACTTTATTTAGTATCTTCATGTTAACACACTTAAGCACCTACTGAAATAATTTCTGTGGCAAATAAACGTTATTGTTGTATATGTTGTATATTGTTGTTGGTTTTGTTTTCTTGTGCGCCATTATGGTTTGCCATATCCATTGGGGTGTCGAAATGGAACTCTTTACTTATTTCTTGCTTGCTACTTACAGTGACGAAATACAAATATGTTGCAGTATAAAGATAATTTTTGATATAATTTCATAAAAAAACACCATAATCCACAAACCAACTTCTGGTTCGGTAGCTATGGAAAGAAATTTGTATGAAATTTGACTTCTTTTGCCAATTCAAGAGTTCGAGTAATGGAGAAATTCGAGCTATAACAGTTCGAATTGTGGAAGTTCAACTCTATATTCATATGTACATAAGTAGTTCTTAAACTAGAATGAAATTATTACCTAACAATATTAAAAATTCCGTATTATAGAAAACAATGCACAAATTTTATTTTTAAGGTATTTTCGAAGACTTATATGGTACGAAATTTCTACAATATTTCTTCACATATTGACGATGTTATCTTCCACAGGGTTTGAAATAAATTATTCGAAATTATCCGAACTATTTTCTCCCGCCGCGACTGTACTTCGGAGCGTGATTCGGCAGAGGGCGTTCTTCGTGTATTATCGCGCGAAGTGTTGCTGTAAGGGACCCAAGCCGAAAATGCAGCGTTCTTTAGAGCAAAAGCGATTAAATTCTGTATGAAACTCAGTAAATCTGAAACAGAGACGTTTGATATGATCAAGTAGGCTTACCCAGATGTCGCTTTAGCAAGAAATGGTGTATTTCGGTGCCACCAGGCCTTTTTGAAAAAAGATGAGAATTATCGTTTTTTACATCAAAGGCATCGTCCACCATGAATTTGTCCCTCCTAAACAAAGCGTCAACGCCAAGTTTTACATGGAAGTCTCAAGAGACTCAAACGAAGGGTCAATCGGGTCGGACAAAACATTGCAGCCGATCGGAAATTGCACCTAGACAATGCCCTGGTTCACACCGCCATTCTTGTAAACAGCTACCTAGCTAAAGCCGCCATCCCAACCCTTCCACATCCGCCCTACACCCCAGTAATTAGGGGAAAAATTTGTGTAAAGCTAAACGAGCACGAGTTTTAAGAACTACCGAGTCCTTCTTCGAAAATGTTACAGCAGAGACTGACCACGATTTTGTAACTAACGCCAATATAAATTTTATTTGTGCACTGAAACACATGGAAAAGAAGAAAACTTCATCTTTAAGATTACATCTAAATTAAATTGTAATGGTAAAGTTAAGGGCTCTAGACTTCGTTCTTATTTTTTGCCAAAACAAAATTTTCTTAACATCCTTGCATATACATAAATCATAACCAATTCCAGAGATGAAATTTTATTTAAGTCAACAAAAATAATAAATTTGTACACATACATGTTTGTATGTATGTATATTTATCTATCTAAATAATTTTCAACATACATAGATATATACATACATACGTTAATCTACATATGCACATGAACATATTATATGAATGTATTTTCTCCAAGTGATAGCACAGGTGTCAAGCGAATAGTAGGTATTCAGAGGACAAGCGTCAGACAGCTAAATAAATGTGTTGAACACACTGTCAGAAAAAAAGTCAAATATCTCTTCACCAACCATCCACACCTTAGTAGATGAACAGACGTGCAAATTGGCATATGAACACATGTAGTTACAGAATACTGACAAACAAACATTTTGAAGAAACAACTGACAGTCCGAATAAACATTAAATGCAAATCGCAAAATTTGGGGGTGAAAGAGGGCAATTTCACATATGTGCGCACGCTTCACTGAATTACAATAGCAGTAGGAACAACAAAACCAATAGCATAATTTGGAGGCAACTACAACGATAATAATAAGAAGTAAACAAACAAAAGTCTCGCACACAATGCTCGTAAAATCATGAAAAGTAAATGAAGCGAAACATATGGGAACCCAACTGGTGCCTGGCGGATCTACAATCTAATACACATGAATAAGCGCACACACCCACAAAATAAGGTCAACCATGCGCTATTAAACTGCCAACACAGGCACATATGTATAAGCATGCATTTTTATTTATTTGTATATATTTCTATATAACTAAAAATCAGTACGAGTTGATGCTTGCTGTTGAGTATATGGATGTTTGTGTGTGCACTAAATGAAAACGCAACGAGTGTGAGCGAGTCGACGTTCCCAGTTGGCCTCACTGTCGTCACTTGAGCATTTATATTCAGCCAGCACACGGCAGCGAAACAACAGCCAATCAGCAACATTCATTCCCCGCTGCGCGAATAGGCGTTGCCGAACCCCACCGTTCGCTTCGCTTAAGCGACTTGTAAATGGGCGCAGTGCGCAAGTATGGCCCCGGCCACATAACCAGCTACCAAAGCAACAACAATAACAATGTGGCAAGGATTTGAAGCAGGTTTGACTGTGCTACTGTGGCAGCAAGTTCTTAGCGGCAATTCAGTTTAGCGTAGAAATCGCGTTCACGCGGGTGTCGCAAACATTCGGAGCATACAAATACGAGCTGATGGTGAAAACGAGTTGAGTTGACAAAAACAAATTGAAATTAAAGAAACGTTAAGTAAATACCTAATATTATAGGTACACGTTAGAGGTGGGGTGAACAAAAAAGTTTGTCATAAATACATACACACATATACGTGTGCATGATGATGTATATGTTTATAGTATATACTCTGGCTTATATGGAGAAAAAAAAAATAAATACATAAAATGAAATTAATTAACTGCGCTGCAGTAAGTTCGATGCAGTGTTTAGTGGCAGCAGCAGTTGTTCAGAAGTAATTAAATTCATACACGTCGCCAAACTAAACGTCAACCAGCAGACACCTACGGCGACAGTTCGTTCGTGAGCGCTTCCAATTAACATAGTACGCGAATTCTATGTGCCAATAAAAAATAAACAAAAAAATATAAAAAAATAAATTAATAAAACTAAATGCAATATTATTAGAAATCAAAGAAAAAAAATAAATTAGTAAATTAGTGAATTTTTAATTAAGTTTTTATATGCATATGTATATACAAATACATAATGCGTTGTGTAACAATAAATTACCAAAAAGTTTGTTCACCAGTTTGATCATTTCCCATTTGAATTTATGAAGGCCGATAAATAATTATTATTCTGCAAAATTGAATTCTTTAATTACTCTAAATACTAGTTAAGCTAATCAGAGTGCAGAAAATAAGTAAAATAGTGTGTTTTGTATATTGTATTTGTAATATTATTTTTGTTCGGTGCGAGCGTTTGCCGACGCCTATAGGCGCCTAGTATGGAAAGCAAMGCATTTGGTAGCAGCCATTTGCCGTCACAAGCTTTAGTCGTACTTTCGGAGGCTGCTTCCGGTTTGCATGAGGCTTTGAGGGGCCAACGGCCTTTCCCACCAAGAGTAAGATTATGTATAAGTTTTAAATTTTAAAATTAAACTTTCACTAACACAAGATTAGCTTATGATAATTACATTAACATACGAACTTAAAATGATCAAACTCTTTTACAAGTGATTATTTAATATATGTACAGTACATAAAAAATGTATATAAAAACTAAATGTAAATGCGAATTAAAAAAGTAAACAAAAAATAGACATTGAGAAGATAAATAAAAATAAAATATTATTAAGACTTGTTGAAATGAATGTCAATGGCCAATGATAATTTAATAAAAATATAATATCAAAGTTGGATCAAAACATGAAAAAAGATACTGATAGTAGTCAAATTTTTTGGAACAAATTTAAAAAAAAATATACATAAATATGTTATCTATTCTTGCAAATTTGAGACTCACAAATCGTTAATAGTTCCGATCGTATTCCTTTTTTCTGAATAGCCTTATTAAGATTTATAACTGTATTACTTGAGAACTTTTATGACTAAAGTTAAAGCATATAAATATATTTGAAAAGTAAAAAGTTATATATACCCGAAATTTTGTTTTATTCATACGGTTTGCCAAGATATGGCGTAATTTGAATGATTTTCCGAACCTGCTTTGGTAATATAATATCCATCATTTGAAACATAAATAACAATATTTTTTAGTTAAATATTCCGTTTTTCCGAAAACGTGTCATTACTGTGAGTTCTTCTTCATTACTTTAATTGAGCCGAGCGAATGTATAATAAATAAAAAAAGTCGTGTTTGTTTATCCATTACAATAGCTCTTAATTAAAAAAAAAAAACATATTTGAAACATGGCCAATCAGCCAAAGCAACGGAAAGCCGAATATTCATGACCCAAAGGATATGTGCTGATTCGGTAGGATCAGAAGGACTCGATATCATCAATGAGAAACGCTGGCGACAGCAACTTATAAATGAAGGGAGCGATTCCCGAGATACTCCGGAAATAGCAACTAGATACGAGGCAATTTCCAACATGTCAAAGCTCAACTTCATCGTCAGTGGCAGATCGGTTAAAAACTATTTGGAAAACAGAGGCTGGGAAGTTTTGCCTCACTCGCCTTATAGCATAGACCTACCTTGCCTTCTGACTACTATTTGTTGCGGTTCTGTCTGTTTTTATCCGAACATAGTATTCAAAATTAGTTTAATTCATATTTTTTCATTTACATATTTTTTTATTTTGCTGTAAAATTAATTAGATTAGATCAATTTGCGTATTTTGAGTATTGAATTGTATTTTCATTTATTTTAGTTGCATTGAAAAGTTATAGTCCGATCACGAAAATTTTTCCACAAAGGACACCTCAGCTCAAATACCGTATTTGTGTAAAGTTTTATTCCGCTATGTAATATTATACATAATATATTATACAGAGAAGGCATCAGATGGAATTCAAAATAGCGTTATATTGGAAGAAGGCTTGGTTGTATACTGAATTTCATTGAAATCGGTCGAGTAGTTCCTCAGGAATGGTTTTAGGCCCCTAAGTGGACGACGCCACGCCCATTTTCAATTTTTAAAAAAGGCCTGGGTTCAACTTCCTTCTGCCATTTTTTCCGTAAATCTTAGTGTTTCTGACGTTTTTTGTTAGTCGGTTAACGCACTTTTAGTGATTTTCAACAAAACCTTTGTATGGGAGGTGGGCGTGGTTATTATCCGATTTCTTCCATTTTTGAACTGTATATGGAAATGCCTAGAGGAAACGACTCTATAGAGTTTGGTTGACATAGCTATAGTAGTTTTCGAGATATGTACAAAAAACCTAATGCGATCCTTTGTGCCAAATTTCACTTTAATATCTTTATTTATGGCTTAGTTATGACACTTTATAGGTTCTCGGTTTCCGCCATTTTGTGGGCGTGGCAATGGGCTGATTTTGCCCATCTTCGAACTTAACCTTCTTATGGAGCCAAGAAATACTTGTACCAAGTTTCATCATGATATCACAATTTTTACTCAAGTTACAGCTTGCACGGACGGACAGACAGACATCCGGATTTCAACTCTACTCGTCACCCTGATCACTTTGGTATATATAACCTATATCTGACTCTTTTAGTTTTAGGACTTACAAACAACCGTTATGTGGACAAACCTATAATACTCTCCTTAGCAACTTTGTTGGGAGAGTATAAAAACTGCGACAATGATGGCAAAGAGTCAAAAATATTTCGGAAAAAGTATGTTCGTTGTGTCTATTATATCTTGTCGCTGGATTATCTGAAATTGAACTCTTATTGGTTCAATCGTTAGTGAATATTTTGGAACACTTCGAAGAGAAAAATGCGACATTTTGAAAAAAATCACCTAAATAGTTATTGTAAATTGAAAGTTATTAACAATACAGATATAAAATATTATACTTTCAATAAAAGAAGGTAGAACAAAAACCATAATTTCAAGACGAAAAATATATGTACAATGTCTAGTTAAGTTGTTTTACGAAATTCCTACAGATATGCGGTTTGCTATGTACATAAATACATATATCGCTTTAACTGGCCATGCGAACGCGCTAACAAATAATTCTCAACAACAAACGGCAATCGTCGAGTTGAACATAAATTATGGCGAATGCCAGTTAACGACAGCTGCAATTCGTGCAAATTGATCGCTGATGGATCATTCCAACAATCAACCGAACATAATTACACACAATCACAAATAATATTTAGCCGACTTGGTAGTTTTTGTGACCGAGGGTTCATGTGACTATTTTTTCCAGCAGGCACATACTTGCAAGCATTTCCAAAGGAAATTAAACAGTTAAACTAAATATGGCGAGAAGTGGTGACAAACTGGTTGATAAATTATTAATTAATGTAATTACGCGTATGTGGCAATATTTTGCACAAATTTTATCGAGATCTTAAGAAAATGCTCACAGGATACTAAACAAAGGGATAAGTACAGTAAAACAGGTGGTACACGAAAATTTCACTTATTCATATTTATTTCGGTGCCAAAAATATCATCATATCATATCTCCCGCGCTGATCAGTCAATAAAAGCCTAACCCAAGTGCCGCAACAATTCCAAAGCCTGCCGGCAAGTCTGAAGATGGCTTTGCGCTACTGGACATATTGTTCGAATATTTAACACAACATCACAAAAACGAAGTCGGAGGTGAACCCAAAATTGCGTAGTCAAAGCTGTCGAAGTACTCATTTTTTAGCATTTTGACATTCGTGTCAATACAACAAACATCAGCGGCCAAGAACACAGCGACACACCGTGATCAAAGCGAATATTCTTCATCATTTGTAGAATCAGCGTCAAAATCATCGCTCATGTTTACAATGACAGACTAACCGACAAACAAAGTGTACGAAAAAACGACAAAGAAGCCTCAACTACCGAATATATTGAATGGAGGTCCAAGTGAATATATGAGCGCACCTATCACATCTTCTTAGCATAACTGCCGATTGAAGAACAACCAGTAGCTGGCAGCAACAACAGTAATCAAACGGCAAGCAGTTCGTAAGCAAACGGCATTGGCATTGCAGCAATCATAAATCGTCAGGCAAATCTGCACACAATGGGTCACAAATACGAAGCGGCGCGATGTGGAGCAGCAGTAGCGTCAATATAGTAGTAGTGGCAACAGCGTAACAACTGTCTTTGCAACATCATAACAAACGCACAGTGGTGTGAGTGCTAGTTAAATGCCAAAAATAATTGTTTCATAAGCAAGTCTAAGGAAACACATTAGGGCGCTCAAATTACATATTTCATAAAAAATTTTGCCAAAGGATGGAATTTAAGTAGGAACGCTACTCTTTGTAAATGTGTTAAATTTTCGGATTTTTGGTAGAGCTTACAGAAAACCGAAATTTGCATTAAAAATAATTTATTTTCAAACGATTTTTCAATACATCTGTACTCTGCAAACAAAAAGGGTTGGACTATTTTCGATTGAAGTAGTTAAAACGTATGTTATGTGATTAAATGTAAATATTTTAAAATGCTTTATTTTTTTATATAATTTTTAAGATCCGTTTGACATGATTAAAACATATAGTTTTCTTGAATAATAATACGTAAAAACTGTGAGTAGAGTTAAAAAACTTAAGGGAGCAAATAACACTTTTAAAATTAATTACTTATTTCTAAAAATATGGGCTGAAATATAAACAAATGATGTGAGTTATAAAAAGATCTTTTATTCAAAAAATCATAAATTTGAATTAAAAACTCAATCGAAATTTATTTTTTCTTAGCGTTTTATTCAAGAAGATATAAAGTTAAAAGTCTTAACATTCTACAATCTTAAAAGAGATAAGATGTTATGAGAATGTTGCACTCCAGTAAAGCTAGATTACACAGATATAATAGAAACAAAAAACTGGAAAACTAGTATATGCATTCATATGTAATTAAATATTATTAATAAAAAGTAAAAAAAAATTTTCATTAGAATTTTAACATCCACTTTATTCAACTAAACCACTGTGCAGCGTTGCTAACTCACATATTAGTCCCAACTTACCGCTATACGAAAAGTGCTACCAACTAAACTCTGTATGTTTGGTTTGTGTTTTAAGAAGTGCATTGTTTTAGTGTTTTAAATTTTCATCGAACTTGAATACTTAGGCGTTTTAATACATTCAATATTCAAGCGCGCGAGTCGAGCGGCTCATTGAATGGGTGTGGGGATTTATTGGGGCAAATAAACTACTGTACTTGCAACGTCTGAGGCGCATGCTACTCAGTTCGATGGTTTATGATGGCTTCAGATGAATTTATAGAAAAAATTCGAAAAAGCAGAAAGCAAAAAAGCAGAAAGCAAAAAGAGGGTTTTATGATCTTATTGCAGTTTTAATTCCTCTTTCTGATTCCTATTCTGTGCCATTCAACAGCCTCTTTCGTTCCGAAACGCTCGTGATCATCAAATGTGTAAATACTGAAGCCATAAGAACTCATTTGTCTTAGAAATTAGTAGATTTAAGAACTTTTATGTTAGTTTAAATGAAAAA